TGTGTGTGTGTGTCTCTGTGTGTGTGTGTACGTGTGTATTTGGGCAGATTCCAGTCCTCGGCGTACAATCAGCTTTTGTTTGTGTCCTACATCCAGTGTGAGGCTGCAGCAGGGCGAGCGGCGCCTCCTGCAGGCGGAGCTCACACTGGGCCCTTTGAGCCACAGTGACCCACATTCAGCTGCAGGCCTGAGCAGCCGAGCACAGAGACAAAAACACAGCAGGAGAAGAGTAGAAACCAGTAGAATCGATAGAACCAGAGGAATCAGTTGATGCGCGAGTTTTTGTTGGCTCATTTGTGCTTTTATGTACCTGTGAGTCTGTGTGTCCCGCCTCAGTGCCCTCCGCCGCCCCCAGGAACCTGACATTTGACCTCTCGGAGCGGCAGCTGTCTCTGAAGTGGGCGGAGCTTCAGGTGGACGAGCTGCAGGGTCGACTGTTGGCCTACAAGGTGCAGTGGACTGTGGGAGGAGAGGCTCAGGTGAGACAGTCGTACCTGTCTCTCCAGTGTAATTGGAGGTAGAGGGTGACGGTGATGATGTCATTGTCTCTGCCTGCAGGAGCCGCTCCTCTTTAAGGAGAACTCCGCCCACCTCTCTGGGGGTGGTCGTTTCTTTAACGCATCCTTCCAGGTGGCGGCCTGCACGGCGGTGGGCTGTGGGCCGTGGAGCTCCCCGGTGCTGCTGCTGCCCCCTTCAGGTACTCTGAGACATGACATCAGCTCTGATGTCACCGCGGGTGTTTGAAGGACATTGATTGATCGTTGCCTGGCTGCTGCTCTCTCAGCGCAGGTCCGGGTCCCGCGGAGCCACATGTGGGTCGGTCTGCTCCTCGGCCTCCTGGTCGCCACCATCGTCGGGCTGCTGCTGGCTGTCGTCGCTCAGCGCCGCGGGAAGGAGATGCAGTTTGGGTACGAACGTGTTCACGCACACCACTGACATTACAGCAGCACGCCTTCCTGCGTCCACAGACGCGCTACAGTTTATTTATCCACAGCTGAAAGAAACAGACGCAACATGTGAACAATGTTTCTGTACGTTTCCACGTATGAACCAATGAGCTGCCAGCGTCAGGCGTGCGGCTGTTTCTCATGTTTTCATGTTTTCATGCTTCCAGCTCGGCCTTCAAGTCTCCGGGTGCAGAGACCTCAGTGTCCTTCACAGCGGCGCGGTCCTTCAACAGGAACGTGACGGACCTGCAGGAGTCCACCTGTGAGTGTGAGCACGCTCAGTGTGTTTGTTGACACGGGAATGTGTATCAGACCTCGCTGCCTCTGTGTCTCCCCCCAGTGGACGGTCTCTGCATCAACGACGAGCTGAAGAATAAACTGAAGGACGTTTTGATTTCTGAGCGGCTGCTGACGCTCGGACACATGCTGGGAAAAGGTATCGCTATGACGACAGCAAACGACACGTGTAAACTGTCAGCAAAAACTTTCTCTTGTAATCAGAGCGACAAACACTAATTTATGAATTAATGTTGTTTTGTTTTTAAATGAAACTAAATCACATGATTCGCGCTGATGTCACCTGTTATATAGATGGTGACAGTCAGGTGGTGGGAACACGACAGAAACACCTGTATAACCTCTGTGTGTGTCTGAGGCAGGAGGTCACACACAAAATGTTTAAAAATATCAATATTTGAACGTGTCAGAAAATAATTAGTAGAATATGTTAAAACATAAATAAAAGTAATCAAATAACAAATAAACACATCAGTGTGTGTTTACCTGCGCAGGTGAGTTCGGCTCAGTGCGCGAGGCCTTCCTGAAGACTGAGGACTCGTCTGTCCAGAAGGTGGCGGTCAAAGTACTGAAATGTGAGTTGTGCTCTTCTTCTTCATCTTCTTCATCTTCTTCTTCAAGCAGCCGATGTGTTGAATAACCAGATCACGTGACCTCCTCCAGCTGACATCACCTCGTCAGGTGACATCGAGCAGTGTCTGAAGGAGGCGGCCTACATGAAGGACTTCCACCATCCCAACGTCATCCAGCTCATCGGTAACCCCGCCCACCACACAGTGATAACCGGAGGTCAAAGGTCAGGCAGCGTGATTAATATGCCGATCTGTCCAATAGGAGTGAGCCTCCACCGGCGTCCCGGCCAGCGGCTGCCGATCCCGATGGTGGTTCTGCCGTTCATGAAGCACGGAGACCTGCACACCTTCCTGCTGCTGTCCAGGCTGGGAGACGAGCCGTTTGTAAGACACGCCCTGATCGATGGCTGATCAATAACTGTGCTTTGATCAATAACCAATGTGCCTCTGTTAGGACCTGTCTCTGCACACGCTGGCCCGGTTCATGTTGGACATCTCTCAGGGGATGGAGTATCTGAGCAGCAAGAACATCATCCACAGAGACCTCGCCGCCAGGAACTGCATGTCAGTCCGCCAATCGCAGCCAATCAGGCGATCAATGAGCTGATTCAGATAGTCGTTGTTGTTGTGAGTTTAAATGAGGAGTGGCAGCAATCTCCCACTCAGGTTATCAGCCTCAGAGTCTGTTGCTCTGTCATTGTCACATTCAGGCGTGCACATGGAAACTTCATAAAGACGAGTGTAGGGGGCGCTGTGCCGGCCTTAGCCAGCTCTGTGTGTGTGTTTCAGGCTGAACGAGGACATGACCGTGTGTGTGGCCGACTTTGGCCTCTCTAAGAAGATCTACAGTGGCGATTATTACCGTCAGGGCTCCGTCTCCAAACTGCCCGTCAAGTGGATCGCTCTGGAGAGTCTGGCTGACAACGTGTACACCACGCAGAGCGACGTGGTACGCACGCACACACCTGGACACACACGTTTGTGACAGATTACAGACCAGAGGACATTTCAGGCGCTTTTCTTTTTTTAGTTTCTGCTGATAGTCACGTTCAGACAGCCTGGAAACGAAGCCTGAAGGCAGCTCGATCCATGAGCTGACGTGTTTCAGCACTGATCAAGCAGAAGGCGAGTGCTGATGCGAGCACGCAGGGACGCTTTGTTCTCTGTAAAGACGACCTGAGAGGAGGCGCCGCTGAGTTTGTGCCATCAGTGAACCCGCAGCAGCTTAACGCTGAGACGGGTTTACACTGGAGATGGACCGATCCGATGTTACGTATCGGTCGGATACTGACGTAAATTACTGGATCAGATATCGGAGAGAAATAAAAAATGTAATCGATCCATTAAATATCAAAAAAGCACCTCACAAAACTTGCTACACGGCGTAACTCAGCTCATAACCGTAGCACGTC